GAATAGCATGCGTCTTGTTGAAGGTTCTCTTAAATACTTTCGCATTATTGAAATCTTCTAGTTTATTACTCAGACGTTATTCACTCTTTTTCTCATAAGCACAGCGAATGGAAGCAGACAGCAAGAAAACATAAGTGTATTCATCCAGGTTTTAGCAGACCATTGCCTACACCTTCCAGGGAGTTGACTGACAATTCTTCCCCAAGGGAGACTGGTTTTCTTTAAATGATGTACAAAAACAGTTCTCATGTTAGATTAAATACAGTGGTATTCACTTGGTGGGTGGTATTATATGAAACTTTTGCAATAAAGGCACATAAACAAACTGAGAATTGAACTTTCTTGTTTGGGAAGGTAATTCACATTCTTTCTCTGTACCTTAGGGTCCCAAACTTGACTAACTGTTGGAATCATCTGGGGAAACTACAGATCCCTGGGCTTCTCCCTTTAGAGATTCCAATTCATTAGGTGGCAAATGGGACCCAGGATCGATAGTTTCACCAGACCCCCAGGTGATGCTGATGATCAGCCAAGTTTTGGAACCTAGGCTCTATACTGCCAAAGTTCCATCCTGCTTAAAGTCTAAGACACATGCTGAACTGACTCTTTAGTTAAAAGAAAGTTACCTTCAGTTCATGAATAAAATTTCAAAATCTCCCGCCTTAAAGGTTCATGGATACCAAGACGTGCCCCATTGATTAGGATGGGAATTATAAGAGCTATGAATTTACATAGAGAACCTATTCTTGGTTTAAACCAGTGGTTCTCAGCCTCCCTAGTGCCGCGGCCTTTTAGTACAGTTCCTCATGTTGTGGTGATCCCCAACAATAAATTATTTTCGTTGCTACTTTTATAACTAATATTGCTACTGTTGTGAATCAGGCGACCCCTGTGAAAGGGTAGCACGACCCCCAAAAGGGGTTGCAACCCACAGATTAAGAACCGCTGATTTAAACGATTGTGTTTTTTTGTTATCTATTCTAGTCAGGAATATATTGCCATTATGAATAATTTTTATCATAGTATTCCAGCACAGTGGTTAAGGTGATTGGACATGTCCACAAGCAGATAAACATTCCATTTAAAATCGTTGCACAAGGGGAACCCACTTGGGGCTCTAATCCACACAGCTCTCATGTATACTGCACAGCTCCTCCCTCTATTCCTTGCCTCTGCTACAAGGATTCAATTTCCTGAATGTTGGTGGCTTTTTTCATCTCAGTATGAATATTTATTGTGTAATTTGAAGCTTAAATACCTGCCACTGCAGACATTTTGATATATTATCTCCAGGTGGAAAAAAAATTTTTAGAGAAATCCTTTGGGGGGGTAGGGCATAAATTATAATGGTCATTAATTTTATCATAACACTGATTTTATAAAGTCTTGCAATGAAAAGTATTTAATTTTGGAACTCAGAAATATCCTATTACAATATTTAGAAAAATTTGAGCACTGTACCCATTTCTGCCCATGTCAGCTAAATACAAATTACCTAACTAATATAGTGTTAATTTATTCTCTACAAAAAATCATCAAGGTTCTTTAGCCCGCACAATGTAAGAATTCTCATGCTAGTATTCCTCTGTATTCTGCATAAGCAATTACTAGTCTTAACTTTGATTTTTGTGACAGGAAAAATGTTAATATCTGGTATAAGTAATATCTCAATGGGGTAACCAGGAACTTTTTAGCAAATGATGTTGAACTAAAGGTCGAACCTGATCAATTCTATCAATTATTTGAATCATTTCTTGTTGTTGTTAGCTGCCATTTAATCTATTCCAATTCAAAACTAGCATAGTTAAGCTCATAACATAAGGGCACAGCAAGGAATTTTTTCAAGTGATTTTATACCAGTAATTTGACTGTGCTAAATCTCACTGCCATTGAGTCAATTCCAACTAATAGTGACCCGATAGGCGATGGCAGAACTACCTCTGTGGGTTTCTGAGCATGTAACACTTTATAGGAGTAGAAAGCTTCATCTTTCTTCCTTAATTATACAAGGTAAGTAAAAAAAATATTGCTAAAAAAATCATACAAACTTTTATTAAAGATATTAAAATAGGAAACTGTTTGTTAACATATCTTCCATCTAGGTTTACATGTTTCTGAATGCAGTGTTTTCATCTCTCTAATTCTGTGCTCTTCTACTTAAAACACAGTGAAGTGGCAGGTTTGACATTTTTTTAATCGTTTTATTAGGGGCTCATACGACTCTTATAACAATCCCTACATCAATTGTGTAAAGCACATTTGTACATTCATTGCCCTCGTCATTCTCAAAACATTTGCTCTTCATTTAAGCCCCCGGCATCAGGTCCTCATTTTTCCC